GTTGGTATGACTGGTGTCATCATGTTAGGTGTGCGGAACCACTGTGGGGTTGATTTATTAAAACTGGACAGTACAAATCTGGTGCAGTTGTGCATGGTAGGTAATCAGCTTCTAACTTCAGCTTGTTCAATTATGCTTTGACCGAAAAACTTGGAAGCTGATTGGTTTATATGCAAAGGTGCACCAGATTTTGCACTCTCCGATTTTAGTAAATCAACCCATTGTGTATTTTGCTACTATTTTGGTATGGCCAAGAGCATGTGACTGGGAGGAGATGAGAGGGATTATTTTAAGGTATCATTTTTGAAGCGAAGCAAAGCAAACATAACAGTGTGAACAGGACTGTAAAGTAACAATATTATTTGGTGAGAGGTACCTTGATTCAAGTGGCTTAACAAAGTGTGTCAAATGCCACATTTTGAATCATTGCAACAATGTCTCTCTTGTCGATGTGACACATATTTTGAGTTGGAGAGATCTACAGGTAATATGTTTTGTTACACTGCATATTATCTCATTCATGTGATTCAGTGGTAGATTTCATTTGATTTCATTGGTAATAGATCTCTCTTGATCCTTCCCACACACATGGAATATATTTTTAATTATGTTGTGTGGATTGTGTTGAGGTAGGTGTTTTTAATTGCATGATCAACTGATGAGTTTAAATGTTCTACAGCCCAGGGGTGGACTGACAACTCATGGGGCCCCCGGGCAATAAGGGATCATGAGCCCCTGTGTCCTTGCGCACACTCAAAGCACACCCAAAAAAGCCTATAAAAGGTACCAGGGGCATTTCATGGGGCCCCCTACTGACCCCAGGCCCTCAGGCAGTGCCCAAGTGCTTGAATGGTCAGTCTGCTCCTGCTACAGCCCCTGCTACAGCCCATACCACCCCTACAGTACCTTGAAAAAGTATTCATACCCCTTGAAAGTTTCAACATTTTGTCATGTTACAGCTAAAAATGTAAATGTATTTTATTGGGATTGATAGGCCAACACAAAAGTGGCACATAATTGTGAAGTGGAAGGAAAATGAGAAAAGATTTTCAAAATTTTTTACAAATAAATATCTCAAAATGTGGCGCGCATTTGTATTTAGCCCCCTTTACTCTGATACTTATAACTAAAATATAATGGAGATTTTTTTTTTGTGGAAATACAGGGGAATGCAGTTCCGGCACCTTCAGCACTGAATGTGTGTAATGGATAGGGGTGCTGGGCAGTGGTGTATTTAGGTTTTATGCTGCCCTAGGCAACACAAAAATTGGCACCCCCCACACACCCAGGAGAAAGAGCCTGAAATTGACCAAGAACACCCTTGCCCTCCACCCAAGCCTTCCACTACCACTGCCCCCATACACCAGCCACCATCCCCCATGTCGAGAGAGCGAAAGACACTCACCTTCACAGCTCCGGACATCCCAGGGAAAGAAAGTCAGGCTGTGCATACACCGTCATGAAACCCACAGCATCTCTCAGAACCCACCAGGTCCCCATGCCATGTGTGTCCCTTCTTCCATCCCTTCTTCCAAGGGGCAGTGCTGCCCCCCCTGAAAAATGCCGCCCTAGGCAAATGCCTTGTGGTATATACACCCCTGGTGCTGGGTGTGTGCTGGAGGATCTGTTGATGCTGGCTGCTGGGGGATCTATTGTTGATGAAGGGGATCAATTTTTGTGGGGAGGTTTATTGTTGCTGCTGGGGGATCTATTTTTCCAGGGATGTCTATATTTGCTGGTGGGGAATCTATTATTGTTGGGGGTGGGTCTTAAGTTGTTGGGGGTCAATTGATACTGGGAGAGATCTACTGTTGAGGGAGGGGTCTATTGTTCCTGGATGCTAGAGGGTATATTGATGCTGGTTGCAGGGAGATCTGTTGTTGTTTCCAGGGGTCTATTGTTGATGGTGGGTATTTTGTTGCAGGTGATCTATTGTGGCTGGGGGGATCAATTGTCACTGGGGGGGGGGTATTGTTGCTGGATGCAGGAGGTCTATTTTACTACTTTTCTTGTCATAATTAACAATCTCAATACAAAATGATGCATGGTTTTGTATACACTAAATGCGTGGTTGTCAGGGTCCTGTTCACGGCAGGAGTTCTGGAAGATCTGACATTTCTGCCAGTACTCTACATGGCCCCAGAAGTACGCATCAGCCTCAGTCTGGTGCCAGACAGCCTTTATAAGGAGGCTCATCACTTCCTCTGGTTGCTGGATGATCTCTAGCTCCCTGTGCCCTGTTCCTGGTTCCTGTGATTCTGACTTGTGATTTCCTGTTACCGACTCGGCTTGCTCCTGGACCTGTCTACTCTGATTTACCCCTGATCTGACCTCGGCTTGGCTTATGGATACATACTCTCTCTTGCTCCGTGAATGACCCTCGGCTATCCCATCTGACTACGACTGCTCTGATTCCCACCTGGTACCTGACCTTGGCTTGAACCAACTACCCAGTAAACATCTAAATCCCGAGAGGGCTTACATACCACGCACACCCGCCTCCTGTCTGCAGACCTATCTCCCGTGCACCAGCTGTGCTTCTGAGTGGACCACCAACCAGCACTCCTACAGGCGACCTGTGCAACTTTGGGCTAGACTCCCGCTGTCCCACTCTCAGGGGAGTCCGGAACTGAGCCACAAGGGAAGCCCTCTCTCCATTGGCCTCCATCACCAGGTACAAGATAGTGGTACTTGGGAGGTGGGTAGAAGGTGGAACAAAGGAATGGTGCTCAGAGGTGGTTACAAGGCAGAGAGAATGGTTGACTTGGAAAGGACGAGTTCCAGCACCTATTCTCTGAGAAAAAAAGCCCTGAGTGGAACCAATTGCCATCAGAAGCCACCTAATTAGTAAATAGAGTCCACCTGTGTGTAATGTAATCTCAGTATAAAAACAGTTGTTCTGTGAAGCCCTCAGAGGTTTGTTAGAGAACATTAGAGAAGCATCATGAAAGCCAAGGAACACACTAGAGAGGTCAGGGATAATGTTGAGGAGACGTTTTTAAAGCAGGGTTAGGTTATAAAAAATATCCTAAGCTTTGAGCATCTCACAGATCACTGTTCAATTCATCATTCAAAAATGGAAAGAGTATGGCACAACTACAAACCTACCAAGACATGGCCGTCCACCTAAACTGACAGGCCGGGCAAGGAGAGCATTAATCCACAGCTCAGGTGAGAGAATCTGTCCACAGGGCAACTATTAGTCATGCACTCCACAAATTTGGCCTTTATGGAAGAGTAGCAAGAAGAAAGCCATTGTTGAAAGAAAGCCATAAGAAGTCCCAGTTGCAGTTTGCGAGAAGCCATATGGGGGACACAGAAAACATGGGGAAGAAGGTGCTCTGGTCAGGTGAGACCAAAATTGAACTTTCTGACCGAAAAGCAAAACGCTATGTGTGGTGGAAAACTAAAACTGCACATCACCCTGAACACACCATCCCTACCGTGAAACATGGTGGTGGCAGCATGTTGTGGGGATGCTTTTCTTCAGCAGGGACAGGGAAACTGCTCAGAGTTGATGGGAAGATGGATGGAGCCAAATACAGGGCGATCATAGAAGAAAACCTGTTAGAGTCTGCAAAAGAATTGAGACTGGGGCAGAGGTTCATCTTCCAGCAGGACAATGACCCTAAACATGCAGTGAGGAACAGAAGTATTTTAACACCTTGCTATTTTGAAAGTTCTCCCACTTAGAAATCGTGGAGGGGTCTGAAATTCACATTGTAGGTGCATTCCCACTCTGAGAGACAGAATTTAAAAAACAAATTCAGGAAATCACATTGTATGATTTTTAAAGAATTTGTCTTGCACTGCTGAACATAAGTATTTGAACACCTAAGAAACAGCAAGAATTCTGTCTCTCAAAGACCTGTTACTGTGCCTTTAAAAAGTCCACCTCTACTCCACTCATTAATCTAACTTAGTAGCACCTGTCTGAGCTCTTTAAAGACACCTGTCCACCCCACAGTCAGTCAGACGCCAACTACTACACAAAAGCACGACACGGCCAATTTGTTTTTAGCGTGTTGGTGTAAACTGAAGTAATAGGACGTACGGTACACTGCCTTCTCTATGTGCTGCTGGTGTGTGCGAACCCTAAACGCCATCCAGTCACAGTTTCCATGGTGTGAACTATTCGAGGCAATGCAATAGGCTTCACTAAGGCTACTTTCACATTGAACTGCAGCAAAATCGCATGTGTTTTGCAGCATTTTTACTGCATTTTTTTTACAGTACAAATCAGTCAAAATCCCTACCAAAAGCACAAACGGGTGCAGTTTTGATGCATTTTCCATTGATTTCAAGCTCCAAGGAGCAGGGCCCTCAAATCCCTCTTGTATTGAACTGTATTGTTATTGTATTGTCTCCCATTATAATGTAAAGTGCTGAGCAAACTGTTGGCTCTATATAAATCCTGTATAATAATAATAATAATTTCAATGGGGAGGTGTGCTTTTTGGAGCGTTTTTCTTTTACCACACCAAACTTGCACCCGAAATGCAGCAAGCAGGATTTTAAAAAACGCACCATATCAGTGTGAACATTTCCATAGGAATACGCAGTCACACGTTCTCCTTCCACCTAACAAGGGGAATAGGATGATAACACCATGATATCTGAATGTTAGAAGCATTTTGTGCGGATCGCTTTATTCATATCTCCTTTCCAACTTAGAACTCTTTTATTTACATATAACCAAAAAGAGCAACGTCTCAGGAGACGTAATACAATGCGAGGACCAAGATGGCTCCTAAACCCTTCCAATGTGCGCCTCCAATGAGACACGCAGATCCCGGGTGCACTAACATGGCCGTCCGTTTAACCCATTCACGCCATCTGTTTCCAAGGGAGACGTGTGTCCGCCAGTTTCATTGGCGAGCCCGGTCTCCGCCCATAGACCGGTAGCCAATGCGGAAAATGGTGGATAGCAGAGCCGAACCCTATTGGCTGGAAGGGCGGTCGTGCCGTATGCTGTCACCAGAGGGCTTCCTTTGCACAGGTCGTCGGTGAGGGGGCTAGTCCGGCGCCGCCATTTTGTCCGCCCGCTTGTGATACCCGCGCTGCGAGCCGTGAGCAGGAAAGAGAGGATGGGGGATCATTACCATCGGGGCGCATTCCCACCGGGGCCTCCCAGGGATTTCCGCAGAGATGATCGATGTAAGTGGGAGAAGGGGGGAGGGGAACGCAAAGCCATGACTGAGAGGGCAGAGATCATGTGTGTCTGGGAGGAACAATGGCTGGGCTGCTCACACTGCCTGGGCCCCCGTAGACCAGGGGGACACCCGAGGGCCCAGGTGCTGTGGCTAGGCCTTCCTGTTCACTAGCAGGCCTCTCTTTTATCCAGTAAGGATAGTGAGGGGCTCACACAGTCTACTAATGGGGGGGGGGGGATAAATGAAGGAATGTGGATGGGGGCCTGGAAATAATTCTGCCTCACACAATAAAGTAGGCCATATATTGCCTGAATATTCCACACAATGAGATTCCTATGTGCAGTTACCCATAGCAACCAGGCTGCATTGAACTAGCTTGGCCGATGGTTGCTATGGGTTACCGCCCATAGAGTGGACCTTAATGTGGAACTTCCCTGCATCTGAGCACCACAAACCAGAAGCGATATTTAATTCATTTTTAATATTCAAAGCAAACTCCCCCATCCATCTGTGTCTCCATGTTTTATTTTGCTGAGAAATCACTCTGGAAAACACCATCTGGCATTTCTGGCTGTTGCCATCCTGAGTAAGGGCAGATGGTTCACGTAGCATTGACTTCCCATAATCCATCTGCCCTTGGCTCAGGCATGCAGATAGGAGGGTGTGCTTAGTTGGAAAAGCCCCCTCCTGAGGACGCCTGGGATGTATGACATCATTTGCCTAGGCTTGGGAACCAGGAAGTAGCTGAAGAAATGGAACAAAAAGTTTAAAACAAGTAAATGTTATGTTTTCCTATCCATTTACTAATGCTAGAAGGATTAAGAAGAGTCCATGTTGACTGAGACATGGAAGATCTGTAAAGGCTTCAGGTTTTTTGCATGAAGGTAAAAAAATCTTCTCTGTGCAGTAGTCCCCCTAATACTTGCCCAATCCAGCGATGTGCATGGGAGCCTCGGTTCTACGAAGACTCTCCCTCCTCATTGGCTGTGCCACCAGCTCCCGCTGCTGTTAATCAGCCAGTGAGTCAATGAGGGGGTGTGGCTGAGTCGCTGGCTGTGTGTGTGAATGGACACACAGAGCATTGACTCGGGAGTGAGCCTGCTTGGGTGCCCCCATAGCAAGCTACTTGCCCTGGGGGCACTAGGCAGGAGGGAGGGGCCAGGAGTGCCAGCTGGAGACCCGAGAAGAGGAGGATTGGGGCTGCTCTGTGCAAAACCACTGCACAGAGCAGGTAAGTATAGCATTTTTGTTTTAAAGAAGCCTATCTTTAATATCACTTTAAAAGGCATATTTGGCTGCCCTGCCTCCTCCCCTCCCCCTTTTACAAATGAAATTTAGTTTTTTTTTTTTTTTTTTTTTGCTTTATTTGAGCAACACTTTTGCAATTCTCACCTAGGCAAGAATTTCTTCTCACTCCCTATGTGTGCGCGCAGGTGAGCCTGGGTCCTGAGAGAGAGCGCAGGTGAGCCTGGGTCCTGAGAGAGCGCAGGTGAGCCTGGGTCCTGGGAGAGCGCAGGTGAGCCTGGGTCCTGAGAGAGCGCAGGTGAGCCTGGGTCCTGAGAGAGCGCAGGTGAGCCTGGGTCCTGGAGAGCGCAGGTGAGCCTGGGTCCTGGGAGAGCGCAGGTGAGCGTCCTGGGAGAGCGCAGGTGAGCCTGGGTCCTGGGAGAGCGCAGGTGAGCCTGGGTCCTGGGAGAGCGCAGGTGAGCCTGGGTCCTGGGAGAGCGCTGGGTCCTGGGTCCTGGGAGAGCGCAGGTGAGCTTGGGTCCTGAGAGAGCCCTGCAGCACATCTGCGCATACACCCGGTTCCCCAGCCGCCTGCACAGGCTCGGGGTTTGCATGCGTAGCCTACTATCAGGGAAGTCCAAAACCTTCCCTGTCCTTGCATGTGAGCAGGAATGTCATGTACCTGTTCTGTATAATGGTTTTGCAAGAGCTTATGACCCCTCCCCCTTGTCGAGTGACCTCATAGCAAGCTGCTTGCACTGGGGGCACTTGTGCGTGTTTGCTTCCGAGACACTTTGGTGTGTTTATGGGACACACACAGCATGGCTCAGCCCTGCCCCCCCGCTCCCACCTCACTGTCTGTGATTGACAGCAGTGGGAGCCAATGGCTTCCACTGCTGTGTCTTAGCCAGTGAGACATGAGAGACCTGGGAGAGCAGCCGCTCTCGTGCACATTGCTGGATCTGGCTCAGTTAAGTATTCAGGGGGGCTGCACACATAGAATACATGAAGGTAAAAAACCTTCAGCCGTTACAACCACTTTAAGTTCTGCTTTAGGCCTGGTTCACACCACATGCTTTCCAGTGCGCTTTTAAAGGACAAGTTCACCATTCTAGAAAAAATAAGTGTACATATTTTTGCAGAAAAAAATGCATTTCACATATTTTCTTGTAGGAGCCTGGAAAGCATTGCACCCAGGGGCAGACTGACAACTCATGGGGCCCCCGGGCAATAAGGGATCATGGGGCCCCTGTGTCCTTGCCCAAACTCAAAAAACGCCTATGAAAAAGGTACCAGGGGCATCTCATGGGGCCCCCTACTGACCCCGGGCCCTCGGGCAGTGCCCGAGTTTCCAAATGGTCAGTCCGCCCTTGATTGCACCCATGATCAGGGGTGCAATGTCAGACTCCTCCACAGAAGCCCTACAGTTGCTGGGACATGTTACATGTGCTACCCTAAAAATGGTTGGAACATGTTCTAAAAGGTGACCTTATCCTTGAACGGTGACACCCACTACAGATCGTAACTTCAGTGCACGTTGAAAGAATCACTTCATCCCTTGCCGGCCAATCAAAAGGCTGAATACTCAGAAGTAGCCAGGGGAGAAGATGACATTGGCCAGTGAGGGAGATAATCATTGTATCACTGGAAGGTGGAGGTGAGTATCTTACTGAGTTCAATTCCTCTTTAAGGGCGTGTTCACATGTGCTTTGATCTCTGAAGAGTGATCCGCATTCTGATCACTTTTCAGAGAGCACATGCTAGTCATTGAGTGGGTGCTGTTTCGCATTCTCACTGCCTGCTTTAATCCCTGCACTAGTACGCTGCAACCATGTGCATTGCATACGGTTGCGGGGCCATTGTAAAGTGGCCCCATTCACTTGAATGGATGATGCTCAGTGGGCACTATGCCTGCTGTATGTGACGGGGTGTCATTCCTGCCGCTGCATGTGTATACCTCCAGCCAGCTGAACTGCAGAAAGTATCTTTGTTGCACGATTACATTGGTCCAGCTTGACTTAATGTAAGTATGTATATTTCATACTTGAGGGAACACTGGGGAAGCTTATGATAACTGTAGTAGTTGGTGCTACTACAGCGATCACTGCAATCTTTCAGTTGCCCACTCTGCCATTCATAGAACACCTTATGGGTTTTTTTTTTAATGATACAATTCTCTGATTGGATAAGGTGGAGATAAGGGATGGCGACTTCATGATTTTGCCTCGTCCAATTAGAGATCACGTTGTTTTATTTGGAAAAAAAAAATACAGGATATTCTATGAATGGTGTCTGTGCTGAGTGAGCGCCCCCCTGTGGTTGGTATGCAGAGGGGAAGATTTTCAGCACAGGACCTGAAAGGTTGTAGTAGTATAGACTGTTACACCGATCGTCTCTTCCACTGCAACACTTGTGGTATGAAATATTCTAACTTACTTTGTGCCAAGTTGTAAGTATGCTATAAACATTCCATAAAGTGAGGATTCACTCTTGAAATGAAGTTCCTTTTATTGATTATATGAGAGAGATTGGGTGAAGTTGTTCTTTAATATGAACTCTCACTTGGCTTTCCTTCAGGATCTTGGGAAAGCTGAGAATTAATTATCCCCTGATGTACAGGATGGTTTTTCCCCAAGGTTTGGTGCCCTCAGCTTTCCCAGGATCCCTTGAGATTTTTATTATATTACAGGATTCATATTGCGCGAACAGTTTGCACAACGCTGTACAGTATAAAAAGAAACAGTACAGTAACAATGAAATACAAGAGGTTGGGAGGGCCCTGCTCCTGGGAGCTTACAATCTAATATTGGGGGATTAGGTAAGTATTTCCTGATAGTCGGGAAAATACCTCATCATGGACACTAGATGGAGCTGGCAATCATAGGAAATCCAATGTATTTTAGTGAAGGTTAAATATTTTGTTTGGACCAAGCTGACCCAAATGAACTGTTCACTTCCCAAACCCTTTCATTGGCTGTCAGTGCTGTATGAGCTGTTTTTATCCTCAGCTACGTAAAGTATACAGCGCTGTATTCTGTCATTTGGATGGGAACTTCATGTCCTGCTCCTAGAACAAAATTGAGTGTGGCTGAGAGCTGCTCGGCCATTGACAGGGAGTTTTGTGTTTTATGAGTGAATACACTGCTTCTGATTTGGCAGAGTCAGAGATTAGGATGTAATTTACTCCTCTCTCCACCTCAGCTAGTCAGAAGAAGCTTTCTATTCATATATATCGGCAGCACAGTGGCTAAGTGGTTAGCACTTCCACCTGACAGTACTAGGGTTGTTGGTTCCAATCCCAACCATGACACCACCTGCCTGGAGTTTGCATGTTCTCCTCTGCCTGCGTGGGTTTTCACCGGGTACTCCGGTTTCCTCCCACACTCCAAAGACATGCTGGTAGGTTAATTGGATCCTGTCCAGATTGGCCATTGTATGTATGAATATGTTAGGGACCAGAGATTGTACGCTCCTTGAGGGTTAGGGACTGATGTGATTGTACAATATATATGTAAAGCTCGTAAATTGATGACGCTATATAAGTACCTGAAATAAATAAATGTATAGAATACAAAACTCCCTGTCCTTGGCTGAGCAGCTCTCAGCCCCACTCACTTTTGTTCTGGCAGTGAGAAAAGAAGTCCTTATACCTCTGCTGGAACACAACGTGTTATATTCTAGCTAGCTGAGGCTGAATACAGTTCATTCGGCGCTGACAACCACTGCTTGAGTAAATAGTTGCTGGGACCAGCTTGGTCCAAATGAACTGTTGAAACTTCCTTAACCTCTTCACGCCAGCCGCACACAAATTTGCACCCTCCCGGCGTCTGGGCCTAGACGCCGAACGGCCGCACATTTGCGTGCAATTAACAAAAAAACCATATGTGCTGAAATCACACACCCTGCACGCTCCCAGCACACATGTCCAGTACTCACGGAAAGGTCCCAATCTACTCTTTCGATCGGGACCTTTCCCGATCATGTGACCGGCATGACTGCATCACGGCGGTCACATGATCCCTAAACTCCGCCCGTCCCACCTCCTGAAACTCTTAAAGGGCCGGGAGGCGCCGGCGGGAAGGGGTTAAGGCCTCGTTTACACCAGCGTGCAGAGACCTCAGTTTTTCTGCAAGGGCGCAACAAGATCAATTGTTCTCTATGTGCCCTGTTCACACCACAACGCTAGTATCAAGTGCATATTTGTTTCTGTGCAGGAATCTACATCGTGTATAAAACGCATTGAAAACTGATGTGAATTCTGTGCGTCAGTTTTCATGCACATATGGTGTGAACGAGCCCTAAAACACTAGCAGGGGTGCTTACATTGATCAGTGTTTATTTATGTAAGGCCCCTTTCACACGGGTATTCTGCTTGTCCTTTTTTGAATGAAAAATGGACAGCAATGCATTCCTATGGACAAATAGATGTCATCCGTTTACTTCAGTTGTTCTTTGACTTCCATTAAGGTCCTTTTTTTTTTTTTTTTCTAAAAACGGATGTAAATGGAAGAAAAATGAATGTAAACAGAACTGAGCAAAATGGAAGATGGATGTTACCTGATGTAAACTGAATCCCTTTTTTCTTAGCAAAAACATGGCTTAAATGATGATGCCCATGTGAAGGGGGCCTGAAACCTTTATTCCAAGAGGAAAAAAACTGCTGTAACTGCTTATAAAGCATTAACTGGAGCTTGGCTTCGTTAATGTATTTAAATCTGTTGGTACATCTAACACTCCCCACCGAACTGACAATGCTGCTGTCCAAAGGTGCCCCCTGTGCTCCTTTATCCAGAGTGGGGGCACTCTAATAAAGCAGGTGTGTTATTGGCCAGATCACCAGAGGGAATACAGCCAAAGAGAAGAAAAATAATGCAGCCACCACATCTGGTAAGCTGCCATATATGACATATTTGGTTTCGGATTTAATACTGCAAAATACAGTCAGGATTTATGATGGCTGGGCAAATGCTTCCTCAATGTCTTGGTAAGGGGTATGATTTCTTGCAGTGACGTGTACAACCTCCGCTGGTCCCTTTGACAGGTAAAATGGATCAACTGCCTATTTTTACCGTCCCTGGCTGAATGTGTGAACAAACTCTAATTCTGCGTACTTTTGTGGCCTCAGGAAGACTCGATCGTCTGGGCTAAATTTTCTTGGCTGATGGGCTTCCCCAAATACTGGGAAAAGAGGATCATTAAAGCTGAACTCTGGATACAAAGCCTTTATTTAAATATTGTTTGATAGCCACAAATTATATCAATACACTTTGTGTGCATCAAATGCCATTTGTACAGTTAGGCACTTTAAAGTACCAGCGAGTACAGCCTGTGCCAAGAGCTGTGGGAGAGACCCAGCAGGCCCACCCTCTACTCTACAGGCTGCCTGTAGAAAACCAGAGGAGGGGGTGGAGAAAAGGCCAGTCACCCTGCACAAGGAGAGAGCAGCAGTGACTGTTCTGTATTACAGGAATCTTCTGCACAGAGGTAACGTTTCACATGGATTACTGCACAGATCTGGAAGAAATACACAAAGTAAGAATACATAGGACTTGTGTGTAGACAATACAGTATCTCACAGAAGTGAGTACACCCCTCACATTTTTGTAAATATTATTTTATTATATCTTTTCATGTGACAACACTGAAGAAATGACACTTTGCTACAATGTGACGTAGTGAGTGTACAGCTTGTATAACATGTAAATTTGCTGTCCCCTCAAAATAACTCAACACACAGCCATTAATGTCTAAACCACTGGCAACCAAAAGTGAGTACACCCCAATGTCCAAATTGGGCCCACAGTGTCAATATTTTGTGTGGCCACCATTATTTTCCAGCACTGTCTTAACCGTCTTGGGTATGGAGGTCACCAGAGCTTCACAGGTTGCCACTGGAGACCTCTTCCACTCCTCCATGATGACATCACGGAGCTGGTGGATGTTAGAGACCTTGTGCTCCTCCACCTTCCGTTTGAGGATGCCCCCACAGATGCTCAATAGTGTTTAGGTCTGAAGACATGCTTGGCCAGTCCATCACCTTTACCCTCAGCTTCTTTAGCAAGGCAGTGATCGTCTTGGAGGTGTGTTTGGGGTTGTTTATGTTGGAATACTGCCCTGCGGCCCAGTCTCCGAAGGGAGGGGATCATGCTCTGCTTCAGTATGTCACAGTACATGTTGGCATTCATGGGTCCCTTAATGGACTGTAGCTCCCCAGTGCCGGCAGCACTCATACAGCCCCAGACCATGACCACTAGTCTTTTGTACTCCTCACCTGGTTGCCGCCACACACACTTGACACCATCTGAACTTAATCAGTTTATCTTTGGTGTCATCAGACCACAGGACATGGTTCCAGTAATCCATGTCCTTAGTCTGCTTGTCTTCAGCAAACTGTTTGCCGGCTTTCTTGTACATCATCTTTAGAAGAGGCTTCCTTCTGGGACAACAGCCATGCTGACCAATGTGATGCAGTGTGTGGCGTATGGTCTGAGCACGACAGGCTGACCCCCCACCCCTTCACCCTCTGCAGCAATGCTAGCAGCACTTAAACGGCTATTACCCAAAGAAACATCTGCGTATGTGGGGGTGGCGAGGCTCCAATTTGTTTTTGTATTTCTTTCTACTTTCATGTATTTTTTTTTTATCTTATGATTTTATTGCTATCACATAGGGGACCAATAGTCCCCTGTGTGATAGCATTTAAATGGCAGGTCCTCTTGGTAGGGGGGGCAGTGTGCGCAAGGAGGGGGCAGGAGAAGAGCAGTATAAACAGTGAGGTAACAGTGTATACAGAGAGGCTCCCTCAGTGGCTGTCACTATGTCAGTGCCAGTTTTTAAATGCAATTGCCAGCTTTTTTTTTTCTTCACCATAGCTGTCACTTTCTCCAGAGCTCCAGGGGCGGTAGAGAAAGGCAGGAGAGGAGCAGTTTATACAGTGACTGGCTGTCACTATATGTCAGTGCCGGTTTTTAAATGCAATTTCCATTTTTTGTTTTCTTCACTATAGCTCAGAGAATCAGCTGTGACTTTCCCCATGCTAAAAGAAACAACGTTTCCTTTAGCTCTGGGCAAAGTGACAGCTATGGTGAAGAAAAAAAAAAAGCTGGCAATTGCATTTAAAAACTGGTGACAGCCAGTGAGGGAGCCTCTCTGTATACACTGTTACCTCACTGTATTCACTGCTCCTCTCTTGCACACATTGCCCCCCCTACAAAGAGGACCTGTCACTTATATGCTATCACATAGGGGACTATTGGCCCCCTATGTGATAGCAAAAAAATCATAAGATGAAAAAAAATATACATGAAAGTAGAAAAAAAAAAATTGGAGCCACCCCGACATACGCAGACGGTTCGGTTTTCGGCCACATGCATTCTGAATTTTCAGTATTGGTTTTGGCACCAGAATTTTCATTTCGGTGCACCACTATTTTATAGTATAACTAAAAGCAAAGCTTTTTTGTTGTTTTGAATAACGTGAAGAGGGATTAGAACACATCATGTTTTTATTGGTGTTTGCACCTCTGTTAGGCTTTGCTCACACTTGTTACATACTTTTGAACAAAGCACAAAAACATATGTTTTACAGGTGCACAGCGGTGCTATTCATTTTTAATGGCACTCACATGCATTTAAAAGCATGTGTGTTCTTGCAAGCCAAACTGCCTGGTGCTGCAGTACCATGTATTTTGCTGTGGTGCAATTTTTTTTTATTGTATAGGCACCTTTTTTGTGTGTTTCTCACGCATAGGGCAGCCCATTAAAATGAAGGGGCTGCCTTAAATGTGAAGCGTGTAAACTCACAATACGAACTGCATGCGCTCGTCGCACCTTCATGATTTGAAAAGAGCCTTAAGGCGATTCACCCTCCTTTATTTGTTCTGTTTACTGTCCTCACCTAGAGTGAAAGTGAAAGAAGATCCCAGATTTTGGGTTGTCACTAGAACATTAATAGAGAGGAAAGCTACCAATTGGGACACTAGTTTTGGTCTCTGGTGACATTCAGAGATTCCATCATTTTTAAGGGATTTCTTGTCGCTTGCTTTTTTTTGTTATGGGACAGGAAGTAAATGGAAATTTCCGGGACACAGTTGGCAAAAGCAAAGTTGCTGGGGTTCTAACCATCCCTTTATCCAAAATAAAAAAAAGAGTGTTACCTTTAGTTCTACTTTAATGAATACCACCCTACTGTACATTTTACCACAAGGTGGAAACAGCCTTGTCCTTTGAGCATATTCCATACATACTAACGTGGACCTTTTGGGTTTTATTTACTAAAGCTGGAGAGTGCAAAATCAGGTTCAGGTCATAGAAACCAATCAGCTTCCAGGTTTTATTGCCAAAGCTTAATTGAACAAGCTGAGGGTAGAAGCTGATTGCTTTCTATGCAGAAGGGAGCCTGATTTTGCACACTCTAGCTTTAGTAAATAAACCCCTTTCTGTCATTGGATTACTGTACTGTTTTGTTTTTTCTCTGTGTAATCTGTGTACATCTGGAACTTCACTAATTCTAGGAGTATTGGTGAGAAAGAACAAATCCACATATATAACAGAGAGGGAGCTTTGTGGTTTAAGGCAGGCATTTGTGTGATGTAAAACAAAATTAAAAGTAATTGATTTCCTGTTTCAGATTTCGGACCAGACCATTATGGCTCTCCAGGAGGAGGATTTCCACCTCACAACAGACCAGATCCTATTAAGCAGGAACGAGACCAGTTTTATGACAGAAGGCCTTTGGATCCAGGACCTCCTATGCCTAGTATGGTTAATTGGTGGCAAATTCACCTTTTATACAATTTGTTCAATGTACCTTGTTTATTATAAACTGAAGTCAAGCCGCGTTAAAGTATGCCAGTTTCCCCTCTTTCACTGGGCAAAATTGTGAATATTTCCGCCTATGTGCTTCACCTAGTGGAGGTTGGGTGCTTAGAGCTGAGTACCACCCAAAAGTAGAAGCTCCGCTTGTCCCTAGCCTAGCCTAGACACCAGGATGTGCTGTCTTGCAGCACAAATGTTAACTAAATAGTAAAAATGATATCAGATGTTGTTAGCACTTGTGTAGGAGGGAGGTATTCTTCGCTTTCTTGAAGCATTCAGCAACAAATCTGGGAGTCACCATGGCCACCAGAGCTATTTCCCCACTTCATTCCTGTTCCGATGACCACCCAACATTTTTTCAATTTTCTTTCATTTTTGAGTCACCAGTACAGATAGAGGGTGAATCTCCTTAACATGTTCTGGATTGTTTATATGCCAAACAAATGCACCATACTGTTTTTTTTTTTTTTTTTCTCTTTTTCTTTCTTTCTTTCCTCCCTCATCCGCTTACTGTATCCTAGCTAAGCTCTGCCACCATGTCAAAAGGTTTGCCCAGATTGAATTTTAGTTTGTTGAAGTGTCTTTTGTCACAATTATATTTTGGTGCTGAATATTCATTTGATTTGGTTTAAACGTAACACTTCACAAGCTTTCCTTCCTGCTTTGCCATGATGCATGTAACTGGGGTAGTAGCATTGTTTTCAAAATTCATTAAAGCAGTGTTTATCAACCTTGTTTTTAGTCAAGGCACCCTTTAGAATGGGGTGTCCCGATATTGTGTATAATTTTAAAGTGTAAAAAATTAAACTAATCGTTTTACATAATGAAGCAACATTCACACACGTAGGACACTCCGCATTAGGGATGATTTATTCTTAAAAAGCCAAATACGCCTTTGTACACTGGTACTGCCTAGTGTTCCATTGTTTTTCTTCTCCATTAGTTTCTCTCCTTCACTCAGCTAATGTGACTCCAGTGCTGATGGGGAGAGACAAACAAGAATGCTGTGCAGACGCCTGACATCATCTTTATCAACCAATGATGTCATTGGTTGCTAGCATGCTAGTGGCTAGAAGGTTGGAATGGTGCACAATGAAGGCTTGTGGCTTTGCATAACTAAAAGGCAGGCTTCATCCACCCACTGGTTTGTATACAGTTTTGTAGATTTTTATGCATTTGGCAAGGCACCCTTGGAAGAAACATGAAGGCACCGTGGTTGGAAAAGGCTGCACTAAAACTTTCAACTTTAGAAGAAAGTGCAGAATCTACCAGTATGAACAGGAGCCAGGCGCTGTGTAGTTTTGTGATAAAAGTAATACACCTTATATGGAGTGTGCCTTTAATAATTCATATGGTAACAAATAAATAACCAGCCTGTGGCTTTAAGAAGCCAGGTTCCAAGATGGACGGCCCGTCCGCTCAGAGGGAAGCAGTGGAGTAGAATACCTGTCAGTGCAGGGCCACGTGTACCCGTCATCCCAGCATCCTGGATGACGTCACCACAATTTGGAGAGATGGAGGGGGAGAACTCTTGCTGGAGCCGCAGCTTTAGAAGGAAGAGGCCGGTTGCCGGGACAACATGTTTCGCGCACATGTGCTTTATCAAATCTGAGACGTCATCCAGGTCGCTGGGACGTCGGGTACACGTGGTCCCTGCACTGACATATTTTTATCCACTGCTTCCCTCTGAGCGGACGGGCCGTCCATCTTGGAACCTGGCTTCTTAAAGCCACAGGCTGGTTATTTATTTTTTACCATATGAATTATTAAAGGCACACTCGATATAAGGTGTATTACTTTTATCACAAAACTACACAGCGCCTGGCTCCTGTTCATACTTCCCACAAACCGATGTGTTTTTACCATGGCAGCAGTGAGTTCTTTCCCCACCAATCACAGTTGACATATACCATTCACTTATTTCCTTTGGGACACATCTGTGCACTTTTATCCAGACTGTTCTTCCAGAATCTACCAGTGCTGCCCATCCTCAGAGCCTTGTTTACCAAGCAGAAGAGAAAAATAATGGAGTGTATCTGGGTGCCAGATCACTTCCAAACAAATGGTAGTATTTTAGTGCCACGTCCTAATTATAATAGTCAAAAATTGAAGGGAAATAAACGGGAGAAAGGTTGCAAATGGACTTTAAAGGCACAGAAATTTCAAACACATATTCGTAAAATCATTTGTACTTTATTATGACAATAAGTCTTGAAAAAACATCTTGCAGTTTAAAAGATCATAGTTATACTGTCCCCGCAGACAATGTCCCACAGCCCACCATGTTCAAGGAACACACTAATCATTAGGGATATAAAAACCACCAGATGGATCCTATGGGGGGGTGAGAGACATTAAGCAGCAGGAAAATGGCCCAACATGTTTTACGACAATGATCGCTTCTTCAGGGGCTTCAGCCTGCGACTTAATGTCTCTCACCCCCCCTATAGGATCCATCTAGTGGTTTTTATATCCCTAGTCATTAGTGTGTTCCTTGTACATGGTGGGCTGTGGGACATTGTCTGCGGGGACAGTATACCTATGATCTTTTAAACTACAAGATGTTTTTTCATGACTTCTTGTCATAATAAGGTAAAAATGATTTTATTAATATGTGTTTGAAATTTCTGTGCCTTTAAAGTCCATTTTCAACCTTTCCCCCGTTTCTTTCCTTTCAATTTTTGTTTACCAAACAGCTTTGCTAATTTTCAACGTTTATTTTTTTGCAGGTTAACTTGCAGGTTGGCTTCTAATTTCAACACTAATCATGGCACATTTTCACCCTTGTTTGAGTTTTGTCAAGCTGCTTTTGTCAATTAGTATTCGATTTTCCAATATGTAGAGTCACCAAACAGTCAAGTTCAGCTGAGTGGGAGCAACTGCTCCATTGTGGGTTAGTGGGAAGTCAGAGACATTATCTGCTGCAGGAAAACCTTGCTATTGCGGACTCCCGTTGTGGAAAAAAGCCAGCTGATGATTGAACACAACAGTGAAATATTAGTTTTGGGCCCTTAAGGAGTATAATTGGTGTACATGAGGTTTGGATAGTCACCAGTGATGGCATATTAAATAACCTCTTCTGTAATATTTTGTGGGGATTATAGATCATCTTAGTATATTGTGCAGCTACAATTTTTTGTTTGAAGGAACAAACTGCATCCTGTAGCAGGAACATATGTGAAAAAAACAGTCTGCAATGCACTTTATAAAGCTGGGATATATCATTTGAACAGTTTCAGATGACTGCAGATTCATTTTGTTGGTGTGGTTACCCAGTTTTAGTCTCAGATAATCTTCTATAAACACTTGGTCCTCCAGGCCGTTGTGCCAAGGTTAATTTGGAAGATTTCTCCTAGTATGCTGAGGGGAAAATGTCTTACACTCTCCAGGACATAAGGCTGCATATTTTGGCTATTGCTTCCCTAAATGGCGTCTTAGGCACCCATTCAAATGGAAAAAATTTTAAACTTTTAAAAAGAAAACTCACACAAAACCCCCCTTAAAGGGATTTATTTTAAAAAAAATTTTAAAAAAAATTTTCCCCCTTCCCTTTAATTTTTCCCAAGTTTCCCCAAGGGGTTTTTTCAAGGAATTCCCCCAAAAGGGGGGGGGGGGTCCCCCCCCCCCCCCCCCCCCCCCCCCCCCCCCCCCCCCCCCCCCCCCCCCCCCCCCCCCCCCCCCCCCCCCCCCCCCCCCCCCCCCCCCCCCCCCCCCCCCCCCCCCCCCCCCCCCCCCCCCCCCCCCCCCCCCCCCCCCCCCCCCCCCCCCCCCCCCCCCCTTTTTTTTTCCCCCCCCCCCCCCCCCCCCCCCCCCCCCCCCCCCCCCCCCCCCCCCCCTTTTTTTAAAATTTTGTGCCACTTAAAAAGGTTTTTTTTTTGCCTTAAAAGTTTTCACCTTTTATAAGGAAAAAAAATTTTAAAAAAAAAACCTTTTTTTTTAGGGTAAAAAAGGTTTTAAAAAAGGAGGAATAATGGAGAGAAAAAAATTTCCCCAAATTTTAAAACCCAAAAAAAAATTTGGAAAAAGGGGGGGGGTTTTTTCACGCATGTAAATTTTTCTTGGGAATTGTTTTTTTAAAAAAAAGTTTGGG